TAACAAAATTTCGACTTATAAATGGTCAAGGAACGTCATGCACTGCAACTGTCTTCAATTTGTTATTTTGCCATAATTTTTTTATGTAGTTTATTATATTTTATTTTGGTTTTTGTCATTATTTTGATAGGAAGGGGAGGACAGAGGCCATATGACTAACGCATGGAAAATTCTCTTCCCTATATATCTGCGTTTATCCAGTTGACCTGTTTGCATAGGCGGTAGGAAAACGTTTGTGACTTTGATGTGTTCGCAGCTCTACAGCACTTTTGCTGTAAGACATCAGACACTGTGCCATAGAAGAAGCTATTCAACTCATAAACAAAACCTTCCTCTATCTTGTCTAATCTCGGTCATGCCGGTCTCCTAAAGGATGTACTGCTTGAAAGAAAGATGTCGAACTATGTATAATTATAATTTAATCTCCAACCGATGCGCAATTGATGACATGAATAATTCAAGAAAATTTTATAATAGCGTAGACAGTAATGATACTCATTAAAAGCGGAAAATATGCAGTGTAAAGAAGAAAGATATATTTCTTACTTTACACTGACGCTGCGGTTGAGTCAGATAGATGGAAGTTTTGTCGCAGTATGGCACCACCCCCTTGCTTCTAGTCCTCTGTGGAGCCACTTAAGCAGACCAAGATTCCATCGTATTTAAGTACCGGCAGTGCATAAAAAGCATGACACATCTTGTAGTTGGGTTGAACAGGGCCTCGTTCATGCCTAACCAAGGAAGCGATATTCAAAAACAAATGAACAAAATAAAATAAAACATCGAAGTTTGAGGGAAACTGCCAAGAGTACGAGTCTCTACTACCCTCTTTGCTCATTGCAGGCGCTTGATGAACTGTGAGTTCCTTGTGGATCCCTTGTCGCGTAGCACCAAGTGAACGACACAATACTGCGGAAAATGTTCCGTCTATCCTACACCACCGCAGTGTCGGTGTAAAATGAAGGATTCATGTTTATTCTTTATGCTGTACTTTTTGCCGTTTCAATCCAGTGTCGAAAGCTCCTACTCTTGCAACCTGCTCAAGAACATGAGGTTTTTTTATTTTATTTCGAAAAATTAACACGTTTCCGTAATTTACATTGTAGTGGATTCGAAAACGTACTATTGCTTGCTGAAGTATTGTTGTCAAATCGTATCTACTTCACAATTTTCTTTTATTTGCCTACTGGTGTCGTACCACTTACACTTTATGCCAATGAATGAAGTGTATCAGCTATTCAGTATTTTGTTTTAAATTTTATTTTCATAATATTTTAGTTGTCAAGGTGGATCGTCCTTTGCCGCTCTAGGATTCTGGCAGAGTGGAATACCAACAGGCGGAATGTATGGAATGCAAGACTGTTGCCAACCGTATCCATTTAACTGTGCGCATTGTCCATCGGCGACAACGCCGAAATGCAGCAAGGAATGTATACCTTCATATCGTCAAAGTTTTAACAGCAGTCTTACATATGGTATCTGTTAAGCATCGATATTTCAATCAGCATAACACCTTGTGCTTAGGACATGACGCTTACAAAATACTAGGAGAAGAAAATGCACAAAGAGAAATATTCGAGAATGGACCAGTAGTTGGCAGGATGGTAGTGTTTGAGGATCTGTACATATATGTCGATGGTAACAATGATGCCAGGAATCGTGATTGTCATTGATATGGTCTACTCGAAGGGGTTTACGAGCATGAGTGGGGCAAGGCGATGAACCAACACGCTGTGCGTATAATCGGATGGGGTGAAGAGGATGGTACGCCCTACTGGCTAGTTGCCAATTCTTGGGGTGAAAATACTCAAGACGAGGGTAAGCTCCATTTTGCTAATGTTCCCTTCTATAATAAACAATTTTCATACCACTAGAATGTCATAGAAGTATCTTATCACAGCTTTTGATCTTGTTCATTGTTAGGTACCTTCAAGATAATTCGTGGCCGAAACGAGTGTGGCATTGAAGGTTATATGGCAGCTGTGAAACCGAAATTGGAATGAATTACGCAGTCTGCGAACTTCTGTACCTGAAAATTACAGTACTATCATTTTTGTCTGAATCATACATTATTTTCAGACTGTCTGAAAGGTTTCTGTTTTATGCTTTTGCCATAGTAAGCATCTGAACCGTTTTGTCTTCGACTTCTCAGATGAAATGAATTCGACAACAGCGATCTACACTTAAGGCTAAACTTTTTCTAGTTGACTGATGTAATGCACAAAGGCAGACCGAGTAATTTAGTTTGTCGTTTATGGGCCCAAACCTGTGCGCCCAATTGGATATGCGCTAAACGTCTTCAAGACTCATTTAGCTAAGCTCTTCAGCCCTTCCATGCAGATTTGTGCCAAGGCATGGCTCAATGTCCCTGAACGCAGCTGCATGATAGTGGAAGGACCATAGAAATGTGGCCTGACTGTGGAATAAGCAGGGATTCTCACCCATTAACAGCCATGATCGTGCATGTGCAGAAGGGGACGGGCGAATCAGCCACGAATCAGATCAGAAAATTATCCATCATCCTCTGCTTTAATCGATCCACTGTTTGAAGAAAGCCTGCCCAGGACTTCGCCATAGACTGCAGTTGTCTGCCACATTCTTCCATCCTCATCTGGCGGACTTCTTCAGTTCATCCCGCCATCGGTATGGATGTTTTCCTACACGCTGTTTGCCCTCTTCAGAAACCCAGCCCAACATCTCTGTGTCCCAGCGATTCTTCTGGCAAATTGTCTTGCCCGCGTCTCACTGAAACTTTTCCACTCTTGTGGTCATCTTGCAGACTCGTATTTTGTCCCTACCCATTAAAACATTCGCTTAGAGTCACCGATTCACACCCGTAGGTTAACCGCCTAAATACTCATTGTTCGAATACTTTTCACCCTTTCAAAAGTGCTTCACGTCATCTGTACTCTTCTGCTGATTTCACAGAGTCGACTCTTCGTTACTGAGATTAGATGCTCCAGAAAAACACGATTTTTCAGCCATAAATCCAACGTCACAATCCGTACTAGTTGCATCATCATCCAGTCTTCGACCGTCCTGCAAAAACAGCAGTGTTGAGACGCCCTCTGGTTATCACCGCGTTACACCAGAACGCCAGCTGGTTCTTTGGACACCACCTGAAAAGAGACAGACACGTTGAAACCTAACCGGGCACTAGGTGAGAGTTGGCATCGAAATTCTTTCCTGTCCAGTAG